CCTGGCCCCATACTCTTGGTGAGCTCCTTGTAGGTGATGGGCCCCCGGAGCCCTCCCTTCTCGAAGCAGGACTGCGTGTGGCTGCAGGGAAGCAGGAGCTGAGCTGAGCTCATATCATGCCCAACCCTTCCACAATTTCTCAGCAGTGAATTTGCAGACATGGGGTGTTCAGCGGGTTTCCAAATGAACAGGATTGTTTTCAAACAGCTTTAATGCACACGCAGCTGCAAGCAGCCTAAAATCACACAGAGGATGCAATGGAGGTGACTGGACTGCAAACAACTTCTCGCAGGAGAAGACCAACATTTCTACACTTGTCTGTATGTATGTAAATGTGTGCACGTGGCGCCTAAATAGCTGTAACTGCAGAACATGAAACTAAAGAAATATCTACTCACTCAAGGGTATCACTTGATTTATTAAATTTAAGTGCTACTTGCTTCCAGGCAGATACACTTTCAGTAGTTTCCAGTTATCAAGTCTCTCTTAGACACTTCATGAGCTGCTTTTGACACATTACCTTGACTCCTACAATCAACCACTTCTGGAACTGAAGAGTGAAGAGCAGAAGCAGAAACTTTTCTGCTGCAATTCAGTCTCAGGCACTCCCTCCAGATGAAACATCCAAGTCACTGTGACAGGCCAGCCGTCCGCTTCGCTCGCTGTTAACCCTGCCAACAGCTGCACTAGTACAAGGCCATGGTAAATAATTAGCACACCACTTTGTAATGACAAATACCAAGGATATTTCTAACTCCTTGTACTATTATGCCATGATTTTTTGCGCATCTATATGAGACGGAGAATGTTTAGCATACATGCGGTGATGACTCTAAGTCAGGTTCCCCGTTTCCACACATCACATCCATACAACCCTCGCAGTTGTTCCTCCAGATTACACAGGGTTGAACGCAGGCAAAGCTGTAGCACCAACATTGGCATCAACCCACTGCAAACCTCGTGGCTGAAAGCAAGCTTTCACTGACCTGGCCTTTATCTGTGCCTTAACGAGGAAAAAGAAAGAAAACTCCAAACTCAGCTTAAACGGAGAAGAAATAAAACTGCCCTGTAAATACAGACTTAAGTCTCCAGCCTTTTTATTTATACAAGGATTCAAAGAACATATTTCAACTTTAGATAAACAGTGCAAGAGAGTTACAAGTACCTTGGTAACAGAAAGAAACAGATAACTGTCCAGCTATGCCAATAAGTGAAATAATTCTTACTCCTGCAGATAGAAATGCATTTGTTTAAAGCAAAGGTGGACTTTAGATATTTTGCTATACCTTAGCCCCTACCAAGCCCACCAGAAAACAACAGGCAGTTTGTCATTTGTCAATGATAAGTAGCTGCGCTCTCGAAGCCTTTTGAGACCCTCGCCCTTAGTTAAAACATATGGGTTATGGCACAAAAGAGCAGGCTGAAAGACAGAGACACTTGGAAACCCACTGTTTCTGGTTCTCCCCATTCCAGGGACAGGGGTCTTCTTTGTTAACATTTTTTCCTAGACCACTACCCCCTGCTGCATCCCTGTGAAGTCCAAGGCCTTTTCAAACCAGCACATCACAAATCACCATCTTGGTAACATCGAAGCAAATGTTCCTCCCCAGCCACCACCGTTCCCCGGAGCTCCCCACTGACGTACCCAACCCACAGCAGCCCTCAGCCCGCCACAGGGCTGGGGAGGTTTGTCACAAGGTTTTGGAGCAGGTGGTAGCCCGGGAAATGTCATTTATAAGCACTGAAAGGCCCCAGGCTCTGTGCCAGCCCCAGCACAGGCTCTGGGCTCGTCTGGACCTGGGCTGACGTTGGCTTGTTGAGCCGTGCCAGCCGTCGTCTAGCTGTTGGGTAACTATGGTTTGCTTTAAATTAGAGGGACACCAAGTCGATACCCTCAGGGTACACAGCTGCTTCAGCTTCCCAGCAGAAGGTGGCATGGCCAAGTACAGCCCCAGGCCACCAAACTGCAGTGGGTTGAGGAAACCGCTTCGGGGCAACAAGGAGAACAGAAAAACTGAGTAACCAGGAATCAACAAAAAGCAGCAGCGTAGTGGACCATGTGAAAAGGGACACAACATAAATCCAGCGGCCCCAGGGTCAAAGAGAGAGGAAGTGTCAGCACCAACATCATGTGCCTCCTGGCAAAGAGGGGGAAGAGCCCCCGGTGCTGCCCTTGCTCACCCCATGCAGCCCTCAGGCTGTCACTCCTGCACGGAGCCCGCTCGGCTCCAGGGGGGCTGAAGCAGTTGCCCTTGGGGCCCAGAGGGACACAGGAGTAGGAGCTCAACCCCAGCCAACGGGGGAAGGCATCAGGAAGGGTTTCTCCTGAGTAACAGTTCTTACTGTATCCTTGAGGCTTTGCCTTATTAATTTGGACTGTCAGGTTTTATTATTGTAATGGGACCAATAATTTGGTCTATCAAATTGTTAAAATATTACCTGGACACATTTAAGGTGTGTTCCCCTTGGGGCCCCTAAGACGCTTTTGAGGGTAACAGGCTGACAGCAAACACTAACTGCACAGAAATGGAAATGACAAGGATTTTCCTTTCAATCTCCCATTCTGCAAAGCAAAACACTGACCTTGTCATCCATGTGTTAATACTCCAACCCAACTATTTTTTGAAAAGGGTACAATGTTTTAATGCCCCTTCTCCCCCCTTTTTTTTTGCTTTGGATGTGAAGTTTCTGCAGGATTGGCTGTGGGGATTTCTGTGACTGAAGGCTAAATTTGTATTGGCGATTCTGATCAAAAGAAAAAAGGAAAAAAACCATAGGAACTCTTTAGGGCAGTAAAAGTAACATGGAACTTGCCACATTTCTAGAAGTAAAAAAACCTGCATAAATCCATGACTTGTATTTATCCACTCCTGGGTTCTGATGGGTCTAGTGGCATTATCTGTCCTTTAGCCTACGTCCAGCCTCCTGACTTTCATCTCTGAAACCCCACCAGATTAGATCAGTTTTAACCTTACAAGAAGGTGAGTACGAGGCAGAAAGAACACCGAGTCAGTAACATTAGTTGCTGTGACTTGGAGAAGCCCATCAAAGCCGGCCTAAAATCTCTGCCTAGTTTGAGGCACCGTCAGCATCGTTTCCTGGCCCCAGGTGCGACCCCTGTCCCAGGGAGGGCAGGTGAGAAGGTCCCTCTGTGCCTGCCTGCTCCAGCTTTCAGCGTCACCTCGCTCATGTTCTCATCTTTCCTTAAATTGCACATTCCAGAAACTGCTAATTTTAAAAATGTTGGGTTTTCCCCCTTCCTTAGAAAACAGTCAAACCCCAGCCCCATAATGTTTGCTCAGACCAAAGACATGTCTCACCTGGCAGGACAGAGGAGAAATGCTCAAACATTTTACTGTGCAGATCTGTAAAGGAGATAGATGCACCTCTGCCCTCCCTCTCTCCTGCACTACAAACATGTTTGAAACTCAAACCCAACCCCAAACCTAACCCCGTAGGAATGAAGCCCAACCCCTGGGCATGCTCCTGGCCAAACTGGTCACAGTGACCGTGCTGTATCTATAATATCCGCTAAACCTACTTCTCCAGCCAATGCTTGCCATACCTGTCAGGTACAGAAGCCTTCTGGAAGCCCCGAAGCACACAGCCCTACAAGCACAGACACTCCTACAGCTACGTGAGGATATTTACTCAGTCTCAAAACCTGGCACAAAGTCTACCCCACCAAGCATTTTGGGGTTAGGGCAGCCACCTGCATGACCCAGAGGCTGGTATATGGTGGGACAGTGCAGCAGAGGGTGACCTGGCCCTTCCCTGGGCTGAAATGCAGCTGCCGGTGGGTGTCTGACCTGCTGTCCCACCCTGTCCCTGCAGCGGTTAGGGAAGGTGTGTGGGAGGATGGGGAAGGGACAGGGAAAGCAGGAATTCACTTAAAAACCTACAACAGAACAGGAACAAACACCAAAAGAAAAAGATATCCCAAACAAAACATGTCCTGTCCTCACATCCCCCCTGGCAGGTGCTACCTTGAGTCAGTCTCCTGGGAAGGGACACTGCCCAGGACTCGTTGCTACCAGCCCCTCTCTGCCTGCGGGGTCACTCGTCCCCAATGTGAGTTCTCATAACCAGTCACAATGCTCCAGGTAGAGAAAAGTCCCTGGTCTTTCTTATTACAAAAAAAAAAAAAAAAAAAGGGGATTCCCACCCATGGCCATGGCTGGGGCCAGAAGAGGAGAAGGAGGCAGCACAACTGTCAAGTGCAGAATCCCACAGTATGTATTTTCATCTCTCTGTTACCTATGACGGTACTGCACTGCAGGTAGAAATTGGACCATTACTTGGGTAAAAAATGGCTTTCCAACTAGCATGCAAAGAAAAAAATAGCCCAAACCCCAACCCCTAACACTCATTCCCAGTCACTTAGATGTAGGAGACCTACATTTCAAATTGTCGTCAGCTACAACCTCTAGTCAAGAAACCCACTTGTGACCTTTCCAAAGAAAAAGGAAGTTCTGCGTTTTTGGGTCCAACAGCTACTGCCAAACTGTTTCAGTTCAACCCACCAAACCTGCTCACGCTCCTACATACGCTGCTGGAAGTGAAGGGCCACCTCTGCCTGCCTAGGAAGTACAGAGGAAAAACCCAAAAGAGCCCCTGAACGCAGCGCTGGAGCAGCGCTGCCGAGCTCAGTCTCTCGGCGTTACGAAGCGGCGTTGCTCTGGGCCCCATCGTGCTCTCGGCAGCGGGATGACAAGCAGCGCTGGGGCCAGCAGCTGGGCAACAACATCAGGGCAATTGCATATTCCACTGGAGGCAGCAGAAGAGCTGCCCCTGGAGGGGCCGGCCGGGTTCCCCCCGGAGGCCTCTCTGCAAAGGCTTGTTTCAGCCCTGAGAGCCAGTTTGTGGCAATAACAAAAATAAAACAATGAGGTACGGAAAGAAGGGCCCAGCATTGGGGAAGAGACCAAGAAAGAAGAAAACAGCTTGAGCACTGCCAGAAATAGCAAAAAACCGAAACCTTTTTCTCCTCCCCCTTTTTTTGTTCCTTTTTTTTTTCTTTTTTTTTTTTTTTTGCCAAGGTGAATTAAATATGTCCTTTTGTTGGTTGGTTGGTTGGTTTTGGCAAAGTGAAGCCCTCGGCCGCAGTCTCTTTCCTGGTTGTGCTAGTGAGTTATCGCCAGAAGTGCTGCGCGGCAATGAAAGCCACCGAGAGGAGGAGGAGGAGGAAGGCAGAAGGCAAAGATCTGCTGCTGGCCCCATTGATGCCGTGTCCAGACTGCTTAGGAATAGCGTGTGTTTCTGGCTGCCTGGTGCTGGGGCTCTTAGAAAGTCTTTTGCCACAGACGTCGTCAGGACAGCTGTCACCACTCCCAGAGCCACTCATGTCATCACCTGCGGACACAAACATGGGCTGAGCCCTGACCACCTTCCTTATGGTGGGTGATGTCCCTCCTTGCTGCAACCCCAGGGAGCTCTGGCCACCAGCCCTGCCCCTGGCCACCTCCTCCTCTTTGCATCTCCCACTACAGGATGCAAGGCCATACCTGATCTCCAGTTGACTTTAACCACCTGCTGCTGCAGCACCTGGAAACCTCCAGAGCAGATGGGAGCAGTGGCCCCATCAGCAGGGCTGGGCTGGGACTGGAGAAAGCACCTGAGATCTTAGTGAGGGGCTGGGAGCACAGCCCTGCCCCTGGCCACCTCCTCCTCTTTGCATCTCCCACTACAGGATGCAAGGCCATACCTGATCTCCAGTTGACTTTAACCACCTGCTGCTGCAGCACCTGGAAACCTCCAGAGCAGATGGGAGCAGTGGCCCCATCAGCAGGGCTGGGCTGGGACTGGAGAAAGCACCTGAGATCTTAGTGAGGGGCTGGGAGCAGCACAGCATCCAGCCACCCCGCAGCAAGGCAGCTGCACTCTAACAGACCCTCTGCAGCCCTGAGCCAAAGCCAGGTCACCACAACCCCTCTCTGCCATCAGGGCCCACTGCAGGGTCTGCACAGAGGCCCATGCAGGCTGCCAGGACTGACTGCGCGGCCCCTCGCCTGCCATAGACCTCTCCGGTTCCGCTCAACTCACTTGCGTCTTGGAAATCCACATCATTCCCGATGTTAGCGTTGCCCAGGCGGTTTGTCATGATCTTTAGCTGCATGATCTGCTGGCGAATGGTCATATCTGGCTTGGTGATGTCCACCTCCACCTCTGGGTTGTTAATCTGATTAGCTAAGCCGTCGCCCATCACTTCAGGCAGGTAACTGCGAAGGAAGGTGACAGGTTTAGATGTCTCCCCACAGCTAAGCTCACCTCTCCCATTTACAGACACCAGTGATAATCCAGCCACTTTGAACCCCAGAGAAGCTGCAGTCAGTGGCGTTGGCTTGTTGAACAGCCTCCATGTGCTGGTGTTTGCTGTGAGGCAGCCAGCTCTACAGATGCCTAAGCCATGCTGCATGCTCAGACCACATCCGGGCCTGGGGCTTGCCCTGAGGTCACCTCAGCTTGTAGGAGGTGGCTGGTGGCCTTGCAGCATCACTCTCCCAGCATGGGAAGGGGTTTCCAGCAGGAAAGGCTGTGTGCAGGGTTGCTCTCAGGCTGGTTCCTGTGGAGTCACAGTGAAACTCCCCTATGGAAAAGCTCTTGTCCTTATGGAAGGCTGAGGAGCACGTTCATCCCTGCCCCAGTTAAACCCTGTGGGGACTTGACATGCTGGGATGACTGAATACCCCCAGCAGGGTACAACCAGACAGGCCTCCAGCAGCTGCACACCTCCTCTCACAGCCATCCTTTGATCATCAGCCATGGGTGGGAGATGTTTCTGCCCGTTTGATGTCACCTCGGAGCTTCCTCTCATGAGGGAACAGCATTTCAGAGCAGGTATGGATAGAAAGACACATACGCAACTCTCAAGCAACAGCTCTGGAGCTTGTGAGGTAAATCCAGCCCTTCTGCCTTCTGAGTGCAGGTGGAACTTGTAAAACTGCTTCTTTAGTACCAAACTACACAGTTATTTCCTGGCAAATGCATTTCACTGCTGAA